TTCCCCACATTGTGGACTTCAACTTCGAACTCAATATCATCCTTGCACTCCAAGTCATCGATTAGAACAGCCGCACATGGAGGCTTGTAAGCACCTTCAGTGTAGTTCAAGTTCCGGCAATGTTGGAGCCGGTTTAACTTAATTTTGAGTGACCTGTTAGAGGATACAATTGTGTAGTTGAACTGAGTGTAGCTGAGTCCATATCCGAATGGGTAGACTGTAGAGCCATTGAAGAACTTGTATGTCCGACCGGGGTAGCCCAAGCTGTCAACTGCCCTTAGTGATAGGGATGTCATGGGCAGCATGTCAACATAGTCTGCTTTATGCCATGTAAGAGGCAATCTTCCCCCTGATAATCAACATTGCACATAAAAATATGTCATACAGGTCTTCAAATTTTAATAATTGAAATGACAAATTTACTCTTCATCTCCCAAATGGAGTCTATAAGATTATTTGGAAAGATGTTACAAAGAGAATTACAAAACAGTCATATCAGTTATTAAATTCAAAATGTATGTAGCCTTACAACCTCAAAGAGAGGCTGTTGTTTCTGAATGGTATATAACAAAGTCAATGATGAACTACTGCGTAATAAATAGAATGCATATATATATATATATATACCTGGATTGTGTTTTCCGAAAACGATATCTGCAATAGCAACGCCACCTTCCTCACCAGGGTACCCAGCCCAGAGGATTGCATTGATGTCATCGTTATTTTTAGCAAAAGAAATGTCGACCCCTCCGGCAGACATGATTACAAGAATGACTGGACCTCTAGATGCATTTGCAACTTGGTTGATCATTTGTTTCTGATAACCAGGTAGGAGGAGATCTGTTCTGTCTAAGAACTCAGCCTCAATTGACAAATCAATACCTGCTACAATTATGGTTGCATCAGCTTTCTGTGCTGCTTGAACGGCTGGGAAAATGAAGGTTTCATTTTTGCATTGCACATCCCCACAGCCCTTTTCATATTTCACCTTTCCAAATTCAGAGAAGCCACTGATAGGAGACTTGTATCGGCATGGGACACCTATATGCATGAATTGATGTAAATGTTAAACAAAATAACATAGTAATGAATTTTATAATGATCGATTTGTCAAAACTATAGTCAGTACCGGCATAGTTTCCAATCATGACTTCGGTGGCATTGGCATGAGGTCCAACCACTGCTAGGGTTTTGATTTTAGCATGGTTCAAGGGCAAAGTTTCATTGACATTTTTTAGAAGAACAATTCCTTCTTTGGCTGCATGGGCTGCTAACTCAATGTGTTCTTCACTGCATACGTCGGCCAGGCCTAGCGACTTGAATTGAGGGATACCGTCGAAAAACCCTAGCCTCATTAGCACAATATAGAGGTTTTTGAGTGCCTTGTCTACTTCTGCTTCCCTAACTTTCCCTTGAACTACTGCATTGCTAGCATAATTTGTGTAGTAGACTCCACAGTCCAAATCCATACCTGTATCAAAAGAGAAAAATTAAAACTCTTCAACATATTTGACATTAGTCAATAAAAAGAAAACTAATAATGGGATAATTCAATTTACACACCTGCTTTTAGTGCTTGTGCAACAGCATCCTCTGGTCCAAGCTCCTCGAGCCACTTGTGACCGGTTAACATCACCTCAATAGAATCACAATCTGAAACTATATACCTATATATAGATAATATGAATGAATTCACTGTTAAATGTCACAATGTGTGTCAAATTAATTTCGGATTTAAAATTAAAAAAAAAAAATAGAAGATTTATATTCAATACCCATGAAGATCCCATTCTCCTCTAACGGTGTCTTTTAGAAGTTTTGGATCAGCGCATGATGGGATGCCATTGACACGATTGTAAGAGCACATAACACTTGTAACATCACCATCTTTAACACACATCTCAAAAGGTCGAAGGAAGGTCTCCACCATATCTTGTTCAGTCACCTACAAGAAATGCAGAAAAAACAAATATATATGAGTCATGATATAGAGTTCAACCGTCAGACAACTCAGCCTGTTATGATGCAAGTGACAAGTACTGTTACTTACTCTGGCATCAAAATGTAATCTATCAACTCCTTTCCAGTTATCGACATCATAGGCGGCGTAATGCTTGCAGCATGCAGCAACCTTGAGAGGCCTCGCGTTCAAATCCGTGGCGTTTTCAGTTCCGGGAACATCTTGCAAACCTCTTACATAGTTAGCGGCATAAGTACCTACAACATAAGGATCTTCTCCGGGTGTCTCTAGGGTTCTTCCCCATCGAGGGTCACGCACTACATTGATGTTAGGACTCCAGAATGTCAATCCTGCATGCCCTAAATTATGCATAGCTCTTGCTTCTGTTGAAACAGCCTGCAATAGTAACATTTTTTTTTTTTCACATTAATATATTACTTCCAAAATTGTACAAGAATGTGTTCTCTATTCCAACAACTCACTATTGCCACTTTCATATATATATATATAACTTAAAACTTTATCATGACTAATATGAAAACTGACTATTGTTTACCTGACCAAGAAGTTTCCAGAGGGATTCATTGAAAGAAGCAGTTGTGGTAATAACAGTGGGAAAGCTTGTTGCACCGGGAACATCTTCGTCAAAGAAGGTTCCCTGGTGATTGAAGTTAGAGACGCCATGCAAGGCCTCCGACCACCACTCGTACTGAGGCAGGCCGAGTCTAGGAACACCATATGCAGCATCACCAATCTGCCGAACCTTTTCGAGCAGTGTCATTCGATCTATGAGGTCCTTCACCCTAACCTCATAGGGAAGTGACTTATCACAGAAAGCAAAATCTTTCATTTCCAACCCGAGATCTGCATACCTCGAAGGATCACATACTTGTCCTGTGAAGTTGCCGCCATTTATTTTATCTTCTCTCAAGCTTAAAGAGCCATGTCTAGCAACAGCAAGAGTAACAAAGAAAGCAAGGGAGAAACAAAGAATAAAACTAAGGTTGGCCATGATGATACTAATGGTTTTGTGTGTTACAATGAATTAGATGGGAATGTGACCTATATATGGGTTTTATGTGACTTGTTATGCGTAGATCCGTTGCATTGAAATCTAAATAACCTTATCTTTGATATGGTATCAGTTAGCAGAATTTTGTTTAAAATGGTTTACTTCCAATCTTTATCAAAAAAATATATTCCTAAGGTATCCTCAAAAGTCAAAATTATATTTTGTTGAGAAATGTACGTTACCATGCCTCCTTCAATCTCTCATATTGTGGATAATGATTTGGATTATATAAAATTATTCAAAAAACTAGAGTATTAAATTTCCAACGGTTATTTTTTAAAAAAAATTTGTTCATCCCATTTGTTGACCAAGTGTTGAAATCGAAGAAAAAGGGGAAGGAAAACTAGCTGCATCCTTCTATTTTCTCTTTTCACCACAAAAATTGCTCCCCTTTTTTTTTGGTCTTCTAAAATTTGATATTTTTTCAGTTTTAGTGATGGACTATATAATAGCCAAATTATTCAATGCCTTTGCTTCAATCCAATTTTATTTTTTTTACCTTAAGTTCAATTCAATTTTTCCTTCATACAAAACAGAAAATTTATATTTCCAGCTAATTGCATTTTTGGTCCTTGATCTCTAATTGGTCATCTCTTGATTGCATTTGGATTGTCTATTTTAAAAAGTACTTGATCATTTTCCTTCATTTAAATCATCCTCCAAATTCCAATAACTTAGATTAATTTAAAGTGAGCAAATTAGATTTCTCTTGCAATTCAAGCAGGATGAAATGGAATGATCGAACAAGAAAGGTAGACACTCCAAATATAGTCGGAGTTAGTAAATATATGTGATCAGGGTGATCATCTAAATTAAAATCTTAAAATAGAGTAAAAATAACAGGCTACAATATAACCAAAAAGTGTGTCAGATGGCATTAGTAGATAAATATATATGGTCACTCAACTCCCCAATCTTCCCTTTTCTTTCGTTTGATAATAACTCCAGCTTGTAGATTAATCGGATATAAGAATACATATACTCCATATAAGATATCATGTGAAACTCACCAGAATTGACTAATGTCTGAGTAACGTTATTGGTTAGCTAGGTTAGCAATTGAGCTTCCAGAGAGATATATGGAAATCTTTTACCAAAGTATATATATATATATATATATATATATATATATATATATATTAATACCACTAAAATATCCTCTCAAATTCAAAATAACTGCAATGGTGTATTATATAGCTTGAATAATGCATTGATTAAAATAAGAATTGCTAAAATATATCATTTTGGCAGTATTGTAGCTCTTCTTAAAATATAACTTTACCATAGAAAAATAACATTTTGCATTGGAAATGCTATGAGACCCTAATTAATAACCAAACCTGGGATAAACAACTCCCAACTGAACTAATTACTTAAACTACCTTGTTATTTTTCTTAAGCCAAATATGGTGATCGATTTTGTGGTTCAAGCTCTACTAAATATTGTAATTTTGGTGCTTCAAACTTTAACAGGAGTGTGGTTTATTTATTTACTGTGTTACTTTTTGAGTTGCTTGATCATGCTATAAGCCAGTTCCAAGAGTACTGCTAATAAGTTTCAGTTTGTCGCAAGGTTGTTTATTATTCTTTCATGTCAAGATTATTCATAATTAATCTGCTTTGTGGTCTTTACTCCTTGGTTGTCAAGATTATTCATAATTAATCTGCTTTGTGGTCTTTAGGAATTGATTACTTATTCAAGATTCGATCAGTTGTGGTCTTTAGGAATTGAAGTTAAAAACATTTTGTTTTGGGTAATAAAATGAGAGGAATTTTAATAGAAAAAGTGCTTCGGTAATAAAAATGAGAAGAATTTTAATAGAAAAAGTGCAAATCTTCTCACAATCCGGTGGTGAATCACCGACGAGCAAGGAGTGATGGGTTTGGGTTTTTTATTTTATTTTATTTTTTTTATTTTTATTCTTTTTTCCATTCTTAGGACAAAGAGAAATATAGAGGAGAGAGTATAATGTAGAGAGGGGTATTTTGGACCATCAAAAAACATAAAAAGTGTTTTTGTATATTTTTAAGTTCCCAAACATCCAAAATGGGACCGAGGGAATAGCATTTTTAAAAAATAAACAAAATTAAGTATTGAGATTTTAAATTTTCCCATGCTCTAATACCAGATAGGGTCAAATCCAAGAACTCATCATATATTAATAATATGAAAATGCTCATTTAATCTAAAATGTAATTCCTTCCACCAGCTAGAAACATTGTTGTATGAACAACTATAACTTATTCCTATTATTAAGGTACTAATCAAAAACTAAAAATAACAAATTCTAATAAAAAAAACCCTAAATAATCATGACATTTTATTAATGCTCCAAGCCAACTTCAACTGGGACTGAGACTGCACTATCTCCATCTCCGATCGTGATGGTGTGCCGACCAGCCGGCAAAAGACGGTAACCAGTGTAATCAACAAGGCCGAAACTCTTGCAAACATTCAAGACAAACTTAGCCTTCTCACTTCCACCGGCCGAAACAAACACTTTTTGAAACCCAATGAGCTGCTTGATAGGAGCAGCAGCAATGCCCTCTGGAGGGCTCAAATAGACCATAACTACTTCACTTCCATCTCTCTTCCCCACATTGTGGACTTGAACTTCGAACTTAATATCGTCATTGCACTTCAAGTCATCGATTAGAACTGCCGCGCATGGAGGCTTGTAAGCACCCTCTGTGTAGTTCAAGTTCCGGCAATGTTGGAGCCGGTTTAACTTAATTTTGAGTGAATTGTTAGAGGGTGCAATTGTGTAGTTGAACTGGGTGTAGCTGAGTCCATATCCGAATGGGTAGACTGTGGAGCCATTGAAGAACTTATATGTTCTACCGGGGTAGCCTAAGCTGTCAACCGGCCTTAGTGATAGGGATGTCATGGGTAGCATATCAACATAGTCTGCTTTATGCCATGTAAGTGGCAATCTTCCTCCTGATAATTAACATTGCTATTCAAAATTCATGGTACAAAATTCGAAATATATGGAGCTTAGAATGCATATATATCTATATATACCTGGATTGTGTTTTCCGAAAACAATATCTGCAATAGCAAGGCCACCTTCCTCACCAGGGTACCCAGCCCAGAGGATTGCATCGATGTCAGGATTATTTTTAGCAAAAGAAATGTCGACCCCTCCGGCAGACATGATTACAAGAATGACTGGACCCCTAGACGCATTTGCAACTTGGTTGATCATTTGTTTCTGATAACCAGGTAGGAGGAGATCTGTCCTGTCCAATCCTTCGGCCTCAATTGACAAATCAATACCCGCTACAATTATGGTTGCATCAGCTTTCTGTGCTGCTTGCACGGCAGGGAAAATGAAGGTTTCATTTTTGCATTGCACATCCCCACATCCCTTTTCATATTTCACTTTTCCAAATTCAGAGAAGCCACTGATAGGAGAATTGTATCGACATGGGACACCTATATGAATTATGTAAATGTTACCAACAAAATAACATAGTAATGAATTTTATAATGATTTATTCAAAACTATATTCAGTACCTGCATAGTTTCCAATCATGACTTCGGTGGCATTGGCGTGAGGTCCAACCACTGCTAGGGTTTTGATTTTAGCATGGTTCAAAGGCAAAGTTTCATTGACGTTTTTAAGAAGAACAATTCCTTCTTTGGCCGCATGGGCTGCTAACTCGATGTGTTCTTGAGTGCACACATCAGCCAGGCCTAGAGACTTGAATTGAGGGCTACCATCGAAAAACCCTAATCTCATGAGCACAATATAGAGGTTTTTGAGTGCCTTGTCTACTTCTGCTTCCCTAACTTTCCCTTGAACTACTGCATTGCTAGTATGATTTGTGTAGTAGGCTCCACAGTCCAAATCCAAGCCTGTAACAAAAGAGAAAAATTAAAACAAGCTGAGAAAAATTAAAACTCTTTTAACATATTTGACATAAATCAATTGAGATAATTCAATTGACTCACCTGCTTTTAGGGCTTGTGCAACAGCATCCTCTGGTCCATCCTCGAGCCAATGGTGACCGGTTAACATCACATCAATAGAATCACAATCTGAAACTATATACCTATATATAGATAATATATGAATTAATTCAGTGTCACCATGTATGTGTCAAATTAATTTCGTAAAAAAAAAAATAGAAGATTTATATTCAATACCCATGAAGATCCCATTCTCCTCTAACGGTGTCTTTTAGAAGTTTTGGATCAGCGCATGTTGGGATGCCATTGACACGATTGTAAGAGCACATAACACTTGTAACATCACCATCTTTAACACACATCTCAAAAGGTCGAAGGAAGGTCTCCACCATATCTTGTTCAGTAACCTACAAGAGAAATGCAGAAAATATGAGTCATGATATGGAGTTCAACCGTCGAACAATTCAAACTGTTATGATGTAAGTAACAAGTGTTACTTACTCTAGCATCAAAATGATATCTATCAACTCCTTTCCAGTTATCAACATCATAGGCGGCGTAATGCTTGCAGCATGCAGCAACCTTGAGAGGCCTCGCGTTCAAATCCGTGGCGTTTTCTGTTCCGGGAACATCTTGCAAACCTCTTACATAGTTAGCGGCATAAGTACCTACAACATAAGGATCTTCTCCGGGTGTCTCTAGGGCTCTTCCCCATCGAGGGTCACGCACTACATTGATGTTAGGACTCCAGAATGTCAATCCTGCATGCCCTAAATTATGCATAGCTCTTGCTTCTGTTGAAACAGTCTGCAATAGTAACATTTTTTTGTTTCACATTAATATATTACATCCAAAATTGTACAAGAATGTGTTCTATATATATACATATATATATATAACGTAAAACTTTGTCATGACTAATATGAAACTGACTATTGTTTACCTGACCAATAAGTTTCCAGAGGGACTCGTTGAAAGAAGCAGTTGTGGTAATAACAGTGGGAAAGCTTGTTGCACCGGGAACATCTTCGTCAAAGAAGCTTCCCCTGCTATTGCTCATTCCGACGTCAGAGACGCCATGCAAGGCCTCCGACCACCACTCGTACTTAGGCAGGCCGAGTCTAGAAACACCATACGCAGTATCACCAATCTGCCGGGCCTTTTCGACCAGTGTCATTCGATCTATGAGGTCCTTCACCCTAACCTCATAGGGAAGTGACTTATCACAGAAAGCAAAGTCTTTCATTTCCAACCCGAGATCTGCATACCTCAAAGGATCACATACATGACCGATGAAGTTGCTGCCATTAGCAACTCCAAGAGTAACAAAGAAAGCAAGAGAGAAACAAAGAATAAAACCAAGGTTGGCCATGATGATACTAAATGGTTTTGTGTGTTACAAACAATTAGATGGAAACGTGACCTATATATAGGTTTTATGTGACTTGTTATCCGTTGATCGGTTGCATTGAAATCTAAATAATCTTATCTTTGATATACTATCAGTTAGTGCATTGAAATCTAAATAATCTTATCTCTGATATACCATCAGTTAGTAGAATTTTGTTTAAATTGTTCTACTTCCAGTGGCATTGAAATCTTAATAATCTGATCTTTGATATACTATCACTTAGTAGAATTTTGTTTAAATTGTTTTACTTCCAATGTTTATCAGAAAAATATATCCTGAGGTATCTTAAAAGTAAAAATTATATTTTGTTGAGAAATGTACATTACTTCAATCTCTCATAAAAATTGTCTATCCCATTTTTTGGTCTTCTAAAATTTGATGTTTTTTCAGTTTTAATGATGGACTATATAATAGCCAAATCATTCAATGCCTTTGCTTTAATTTAATTTAATTTTTTTACCTTTAAGTTCAATTCAATTTTTCCACATACCAAACAGAAAATTTATTTTTCTAGCTAATTGCATTTTTTTGTCCTTCATCTCGAATTGCTTAATCTCTTGATTGCATTTGGATTGTCTATTTTAAAAAGTACTTGATCAATTTCCTTCATTTAAATTATCCTTCTATAACTTAGATTAATTAAAGTGAGCAAATTAGATTTCTCTTGCAATTCACGGAGGATGAATTGGAATGATCGAACAAGAAACGTAGACACTCGGAATATAGTCGGAGTTAGTAAATATATGTGGGGGTGATTATCTAAATTAAAATCTTAAAATAGAGTAAAAATAACAGCCTACAATGTAACCAAAAAGTGAGCCAGATAGCATTAGTAGATAAATATATCTGGTCACTCAACTCCCCAATCTTCCCTTTTCTTTCGTTTGATAATAACTCCAGCTTGTAGATTAATCGATATATATATATATATATATATATATTAGGGTATAAATTCTAATATTTTAAAATTTGAGATGACAATTTTTTTTAATCTATATAGGATTGACATTTACTCACCAAGAAAAGAGGTAAAAGAGAAGCCAATGGCAAATTGAGTTTGTGTAAAATACAAACAAATTTCTTTCCCGAATTTTTGAAGTCCAACATTTTAGGATCCCAAGTTTAATTACGTCACCATGACATGACCCAACAATGGGAAATTGCTTCTATTTCGAGCTTAATTTTTGCATTTATTTTATTTAAAATTACTTTTAAATAGAACACAAAAGCCCAAATTCATGGTTGCTAATTTGCTATGCACCGTTCAACCATTCTTGGTTATGAGCCCGAGCTGCTGACTATGATTTTTTTTTAGTTAGCTAGAGAAAAATATATTCTCTCCTAATACAGCAATCCCTTTCGTCCTTTCTTTTAAAAAGTTAAGGAATTCTTTCAAAAGGTTAAGGAATTGACTACATTACTCCAAAGAAGCAAAACTTCTCTCCCATTCGCAGTCCAATACTCGCTTGCAGCAGGGCAAAGACAATGTCTGGATCAATCAATCAGCCAACAATACCATACCAAATTTTTTTTTTTCCCCGAAAATGATTTTTAGAATTTTTTTTTTTTTTTTTTTAAATGTAAAATATAAGGAAGTGAAACTCCCCACTTACGTTTCGTAAACAAGACTAATTTTACATCAAGCAATTCACTTTTACACTCAGCCAACTGGGACAACAAAGAAACAGCAGCCCATTGAAGACAAACAACCGCGGTTTGTAAGACTGGCAAAAGCATTTCCGCGAGCAGGCAAGAAGCCAAGAGTCTCTTCAAGCCCTAGAAATTCATAATGGAGTTGCAGATATGAGAAAGAACTGAGTTTTGGGAACTTGACACTCCTCCGAAAATTCGCTGATTCCTCTCAATCCATATGTGGTGGACTGAGGCCGACAACGCAACCTAGCTAATGGAGTTGCTACAATTCTTAGCTTCCCGGTGGTGTGCACTGCAGCCCATTGTAAGGAATCTGAGGCTGTAGATGGGACGGATGCCGGTCCCGAACCCGTCCAGTTGACATCCCTAATAACTGCTCTAAATAACGTTCACTTCAAGTTGCAAAATATACCAACCTGAACGTATTGACATCTCTTCTTCTATGGCCTGTATCTCTACTTTACTACTGGCACGCAGAAAACTGACCCAAATGAAGCAAAATTTGGAAAGGTACACAATTTATTCTAATGGCAGCTACCAATTTGCGTATTTCAGATTAGAATGAAGATTAGGAGAAAGATTATAGAAGGAAAACATCTTATGCTCATTTATGGGAAGGAAAAACATCTAACAAAGTTTTTTTTTTTCCTGATAACTAAAACCTCTAACTTGCATTTTGTTGTTATATACAACGTACACAAAAGTCAAAAATCATGGCAACAGTAGTCTTACGACTATGCTTCAAAATGCCTTGTAAAGGATGTCATTCGAGGAATTCTTTTGACTTCATCTCACCATGACAATCCAACTCTTCTGCTAAATTTTTTCTGAAGTTCCATGCCTTGCTCCTGGATTTTGGTGGAGGAAGAAGACTCCATATATAGATTGCAACTATATAGGGCTTGCTTTTGTCACCTGCACTCATATTAAAAGATAAAAAAATCAAGAAGGAAGAGTGATATTAATACTGCTCTGAAATCTATGAATCTGTAACTATTTTCACATATATCTATGTATCTTAAGCACAACAAGTCTCATCATATATACACAACCCCCAAAAGTGCACTAGAGGAACTGTGCATGAAATTTTAAATTCTTATAGTAGTTTCACGAAGCAGTTACCAGTCTGAAGTATTCAGAGATATAGCGAGAAGGACGGTTCCAGAAGATATAACTGAAGAGAGAGGAGCTATAGAAATAAAAAGAGGTACAAGGAGAAGACAGAGGTAAGAGAGTTCACGAGGACCCGAGCAGGGCCATAAATTCCATGACTCTGCATAAACTCTCTACCATATAAACTCAGTTAAAGCATTCTACATGCATTAAGTAGAATGTTTAGGTCGTCATAATCGCAAAGGCAATAAAGTGCCAGATAAAGGTACTCATGTACAATTCTCTCCTATAAAATTGCACAAAATAACTTAGAAGCATTTGAACCTGATTCTGCAAGCTTGTGGCAGCAGTCCAGCGCCGAGGATGTACTATTACTGAACTGTCAGTAATGAATGCTATTGTTCTTGAAGGGCAATAGAAATAAAAAAGAGGAATTAGGCAACGATGAGGTCAGAGAATTCAAAATCACCTAAGCAGGGAAATAATACCATGAATGTACATAGACTCTACGAACCATATAAACTTAGTTGAGGCATTCTACATGCATCAAGAACAACGTTTAGGTCAAGTCATAATCGCTAAGGTAATAAAGTGCGAGATAAAGGTACTCATGTACAAGTCTCCCCTATAAAATTGCACAAAATAACTTGAAAGCATTTGAACCTGATTCTGTGAGCTTGTGGCAGCAGTCCAGCGATGAGGATGTACAATTACTGAACTGTCAGTAACAAAAGCTATTCTTGATTCTTCCTGCACATTAACCACAACTGAAGGAGGTAATTCTCTCATCACCCACAATACAAAAGCTGAGGGTACTGATGAACCTGGCAAACAATGTGAATAACATATCATTAATTTGATAAAATTTTAGATTTGTTACTTGTCTACAAACACAATACAGAATGTAAGAGGAATAATGCTTCTTAATTAATAATTTTGTTTGTGAATCAGTAGGCATTCTTATATTATTTCATTTCTTTCTGAAGAAAAAATACTTAACCTTTATCCCCATCTTTGTTCTCTTAGTAGATCTTAATAATTAACCAAAAAAAAAAAAAAACCACGAAAGAAAACTTTGCTTGACCAATTAATAGTATATACTGAACTACTACTGCTTCCAACTAGGTGCTGGACCAGGCCAGGTAACTGTACAGGTGAGCCCACCCTGCAGGGTTTCAGTTTTAACATTTCAAATCAACCTTGGGAGCCTATAAAAATATCCAAAATTATTTAGGGGGAGTAAAAACGACATTTAATGTATCAATTTTGTTCAGTGTCCATAGGCTATTTTCAAAATATAGTAAGAAAATCAAACAAAACAATGCAAATCATCCAAAAGTTGACCAAGGGATCACACATCAATGATAGCTTGTAGTTTGAAACCAACATAATACAAAAATGGAGACATCCCTATAAAATAAAATAAATAAATATATAAATAAAAAAGTGGGAGTCAACAAGAAAGGTTAAACAACAATCTGTGCAGTTATTGCATAATTGCTGAGACAAAAATAGCTAAATCTTTTCATATGGGCAGAAAGTAAAAGATTGAGCTGCCCAGTTGTTCCACAAAATTTTTCCCTTCAAGTCGCTTTTTGCCAATGACATGTACCAAAAAATAATAATAATAAGAGTAGTCTCAAGAATTTTATAGTGGAGTACATGTAATCCATTAAAATAAGAAGGAAAAACCACAAATTCATTGCCAGTTACTCTATAAAGTAAATCAATAATTTTATAGTTCACAATCCCTCAAGGTAACACTTAAAAGTGCACTGCAAATCATACTTGTACAATCTTGATATGGTTCACTAGAATAAAGTTTCCCTAAAAGTACAACAGACAATATATATATTATTATATAGATAATTAATTAGTATTATTGAATCAATTGTCTCTTGCGCTTATTTCATCACTTTCAGTCAATTTAACCACTTGAGAGGGAGATGTTAAAACAGTCAACAAATACCTATAAAATAATATAAAATCAATAGAAGAGGGGTATAAGCACTATTCAAGTTCTCTTGATGCCAGTGATAAAGCACCTGCAATTGATAAATCATGTGTTTTAGAAATACATTATGCAACCAAAGCCAGAAAATTAAATACAACTTGTTTTTGGACCAGCAGAGAAGTACATACAGGTATATTCGTTAAAAGAGCAACAAATGAACTTGAAGTGAAACATGTAACAGAAACAATTGCCAAACCTGCAACCTGAAAACAACAAAATACTTTAATAAAGATTTTTTTTATGAGTACAATACTTTAACAAAGATAAACGATTATGAAGATGAGGTTGTTTGATTGCCTTTTTGAAAAAGAAAAATACTACTCCCTAACCCCAGTGAAAATTATGACTAAACCATCTATATGATCTAGACCATCTAAACAGATCCAGTATGTTTAGGACATACCAAATTAGACTTCCCAGCTATCAAAAATCCAAATAATTACAGCATACAATAAAATTGTGTATATTAAAAAATACAATAAGAATATGTACAATGAAGAGAATCATTGTTGAAGTAAATAGACCGCATACCTTCCACATTTCAGAATAAGCTCTTTCAGATCTTACTCTGCTCATTTTCAAGAATAACATGAGTCCTGAATATGAAATTCAGCGAATAAGAACCAAAAAGAAAAATGCATTTGAAGGGATGAAGAAAGTAAAAAATGAGGCAAATCATCATACATGAAGCATTCATTTTAGCAAATTAGCGGTGCAAAAATGATTAAGCAATCAACAATGCTGATTTAGAACTACATCGAGTCAGAAACAAAATTTTGCCCACAGGGCCCCATAGTGGTCGCTGAAAATTTCTATCTTCAATAAAACCACCCCCAACCACCCCAATCAATAACACGTGTTAGCTTGGAGTTATTCCACGTCAGTTTCCTCACTAAAGCCGTAGCTGCAATTTGGGATCCCCAAAAATCTCCTATTGCGTCAACAGGCAAACATCCTAAAGGGCAGGACTGAACTCACCTAACGCGGTGACAAAGGTAGGGGAGCTCATGCTCCCACGAGACAAGTATTTGGAGCCCTTAAGGATCTCGCAGAACAGCCAGACTTTTAGATTTCTAAAAAGCATTGAAGACGGCAGCCACCTTCAACACCAATAGTCCATCTTAACCCCAGATGTCTTCAGTCCAGACATCCCATTAAGTACAAGGGAAGATATGAATCTAGAAATGCACAAAGGAACAAGATAGTCTCCCCCATTCACTGGAAATATAAACAGTGATTTGAGATCAATCATGGAAGCACTTTCAACCAATTTCTCCCATTGATGAACAGAAAGACTCGTAGTGGGAGCTCCTCAAGCTCAGGATGTGGTAACAATGTGACCACTAGGTTGCAACGTTGTCAATATGAGATCCAATGGATATGCAGCTTGGCGGCTAAACCAACGGCAAATGATTATCTTTCCCGTTTTACACCTCCACCTGCTTTTTTTTTTTTTGGTTGGGGGGGGAGGGGGGTGTGGCATTTCCTGCTTTGCCCACCCCATTTTACCAACGGATATTCTTCTATGACATGGCAGTATCTCTATTTGGCCACATCATTTGAGACAAGCACTTGTTGTCCTTGACAGCCACACTTACTGGAAAAGGGTGACCACTACCCCAATTTCAGCACACAAGGACAAGATTTCATCCCATTCTCAACTGGAATATATTTTTGAAACACCATTGTTGGGGCAGAAGTGACCTTGGAGTTCTCTTGCTTTTTTCCATTACCGGCATTCTGAGCAAGGCCCTTTTCCCAAGTACTCAAAGTCGGCTCCATGAATCCCCATTCTGAGCAAGGCCCTTTTCCCAAGTACTCAAAGTCGGCTCCATGAATCCCATTTTGTGGAAGTCATAACTACTTAAAGAAAAAGAAATAGATCATAAACATCAGCCAAGCTTTTTCCTACTTATTTTGCTTCCCATTGTCATCAAGGCATCCATGCACGACCTATTTTGTATGGAAACCCTAATCTGTTTCATTGACAAATCAAAATGACTGTCAGACTATAAACCCTTCAAACTCCATTTATGTGAATGGATTCTTATTAAGCCCATGATAAATGTTCAAAGAATTATAAACACAAGTACTACAAGGAGATTCCAAGTATGGACATTATCAAAATGCTTTCTATGAATTTAAACAAAGGTTATATTATTAAGTAGTATTATATTATTAGTGCACAGGTTATGCCATATATCGAATACTAAATAGAGATTCAAAGCATGCACGTTATCTTAATGCTTTCTTATACATGTGGAGAAAAAATATGTTCTAAACTACTACCATTGTGGACAGAAAAATGATTATTTATCTGGGTTATAAATTGCAATACAAATTGTTAAAATCATAAATATGATTAAAAGAATTTCACTGAACAACTTAGATCAAACTACTGTTCCGGCAGGCTTGGTTTAACTAATTGATTTAATCATAGAACAAGCAATTGAACTTGTAAGAAAATAAAGGCAATGATGCTATTAATATTATAAGCAAGGGACACACCACTATAACATTAGCATAAAATACAAACACAAACACGAATACCAAAACAAAAAAAAAAAAAAAAGCAACGAAACACATTCATATGTACTGAAAATTTCATAGAGAACTTTAAATACTTCAAATATAGCGCCACTATTTACATAGGTGCTTACCGTAACATGCTAATGCTCCTCCTAGTAGAAGGATGGCTATTGCAAAAAGATCTACATACACCTGCATGATGACACTAGTCACTTTACCATAGTTTCACTAATTAACAATTTAAAAAAAAAAAAAATAGGACTGCCAATTGTATTGACATTCATCACCTACATCTTACAATTCTACAAACACCTGCATGATGATACTAGTCACTTTGCCATCGTTTCACTAATTCTATATTGAAAAAAAAAAAAAAAACAAAACAAAACAAAACAAAACAAAAAAAGGGACTGCCAATTGTATTGGACATTCTTCACCTATGTCTTACAATTCAAAAGGCAAGTTACTAATGTTTTACACCATTTCACCAAATTCATCATCGTGTGTAATCTAAACACAACATTTTAGGCCAATTAGTGCAACAACAAAAAAAAAAAAAAAAGAAAAAAAAAAAAAGAAAAAGAAAAACCCACTTTTAAAGACATAAACCGAGTTAAAGCAAACCTTATACCCATAAACTGAGTTGAAGTAAACCTTATATGATATTTTCATCAAAGTATAGAACAATAATAGCATTCATGGAAAGTTAAAGCATGTGACTGTTTGACCTAATTATATGGTTCCCGAGATAAATTGAAAAACTATGGTATCACAATCACTCATTTCCTCCCGGCAGCCAGAATACAATTACTGTATATCAAAAAAATTACATAAACATAGTGGTGGAACTTCTTTTGTGTTTAATATTATAGCATGAATATCCACAAGCCACTCCATTTGATCAACCAAAAAAGGAAAGACTCCTCTTCCTATTAACCCAAGTTTGAAATCTTCCCTACATCTTCTAAAGCAACGAGAGTGAAACATGAAATTTGAGAAAGGACACTAATACATGATATGACAGGACATGATACAGATAAGCCAACATTACAAATTTTAAAGGACAACAATAAAATATATCCTACTATAACCAAAATTATATAATATAAGACAGACATTACTTCATAGTTTATAACCCATAAATTACATAATCATAATCAAACTAGTTATATGGAGAAAATCATAACAAGGACAAGACATTTGTGTGTGTGGATATATTGACATGCATCTAATGTATATACACATAAATTGACGATTCTTCTCCTGCTTTCATGCCCACTTTTTTTATAAAACCTTTTTATATTTTTTGTTTTAATATGGTCAAACTTCTTACAAATTCTATGTAAAATTTTACATTTTTTCTTACAAATATTCTTTTCTTTTTTTGTCCATGGTAAAAGAAGGCCCTATCCAACCTTCAAGAATCATTTGCCACATGTTAGAGAGTGTCTAATAGGTGTTGACCAAATGTCCAAATTTATAATTTTGGTTTTATATTATAACGAGATCCAAAAATGCGTGAAACATGTGTCCAAAGGTGTCAAACAAGTGTCAACGTTGAACACATGTATGAGACAGACACAACTCCTCAATAGAAGTGTCTGCTTCTTAGTAATATGCACAATATTTATATAATTTTCTTAACCAGGTTGTTGAGAATACAACATTAATTTTTTTCCTTTGAGGATTCTCAAATGAAAAACGAGATGACCATCTACTATCTGCCATCCGATAAGTAATTGCACGATTGCAGAGTTGTGAAAGAGCAGACAAACTTCTTGGTGCCTAATGATGTTCAAACAGCATTCAATGCAGAAAGAGCAATATCAAAAGGTCAACAAATCTGTAAGAATTAGAAAATTTTATAAGAAGCACGTTGTCAGAAAAAGGAAGTTAAACAACTGGTCAATGGGGCTATATGGCAAGATCATTCATATCATATGCTAAGCACAAATAATGGAGAGAACGAATGTAACCAACCTTTGGATAAAGGAAAAATAAAAGTAGGAAACTGAATTAAGGAAAGCATGTTACTTGTCGAAACACACTACTTACGGGAAAGGAAAAAAAGCTTACTTTATGAAACTAAATACAAACCACTCAGTGCAACCTTACATCATTGGTCCATTATTCCGGAAGGAATAGAAGGCAGACATTTCATGCTCTATCATCCGAAAGAGAAGACAAGGAAAGGAGGCGTGTGTGTGTGGTGGTGGTGGTGGGGATTTAAGACCAATCTTGAAAATTTTAAACTACTAATAAGACCATTTTATGTACGCAGAAGTCATCTAAAAGTACCACTGTTACAGGGGGTAGCTGAAAGTTCGCAAGCTATTGCTTTATAGAAGCCTTTGATTAAGATTGAAAGGTAAGAGAATGCCATTCCTCCCACAACTCCTCTAGAGACAGGCCCATACTCCACAACTTGGGCTCTATAAACCACAAGTATCTTTTCATTTCCTTTTCTTTTAGATGGAACCCAAAAGTACTAAATGCCTAGGTATATACAAATGTAAACAGACACAATTGAGGAGTAATATTAAGACACTCTTTGCAACATAAATAGGCCAACAATAAAACTAATCAGCAGAAAGTTCACACCCGAGCCACCACTGATGAATCAATAGGGTTCTTTCCCATTCCAATCCCAATTAGCACGGCAGATCCCATCATTAGTACAAAAATCAACACAGTAACCTGGTAGATAAGGAAAAGAGTTAATGAATTAGATAGCATCAATCCTGAAATATTGCACGTTATGATCCCTAAAAAACTAGAAAGTATATAATCTCAAAGTTATTCTGCATTTTTTTTTCTGCATGAGAAATATGATAAATACACGACATGGAACTTTTACCACTTCCATACCACTATCACAACTTTTTGGCGGCTTCCAACATGGATGACTCGGAAAGAGCAACATCTCCGCTGACTATCAGCATTTGAACGTGGTTTACTGGATGTCCTCTCCAACAAAGCTTCCCGAGGACTACCTTCATCCTCATCATCATCATCATTTGTCTGATGGCACAAGTCGACCCTATAAAACCATTTCCAAAAGAAGCACAAAGTATAGCTCATGAATACATAGATTTTAAGTTTGAATTGTGAACTCATCAACTTGATAAAAAAATAAAACTGGATCCACATTCAGATCATTAATCCCTTTTGTAAAGAAGAGAAAACAGAGCCACAACAGATTTTCGGATGTAGAAGTGATCCATTCCCTTTGGTTCTCGTTACAATTTATAATACAAGATTTTCCAAACAAAGTGGCTACAATCGAGGAGTAGTAATTACAGCAGCTATCTAAAAGGTAAGTCAACTAATCTAATCCCATAATTACATCAACTTTATTTAGGGTAAGTCAATGCTAGCTAATATAATCCCTAATTGTAAGGCATAATTATGAGCAATCTGTATAGCACTAGTGTTGTCAACATAGAGGAGAGTAGGACCAAGAATTGGAATTCCAAGTTCTAGAAGAAGTCTACGAAGCCATATCACCTCGCTACTAGCAGATGATATAGACCTGTATTCAGCCTCGGCAGATGATCTTGAAACTGTTGGCTGCTTTTTGCACTTCCAAGAGATGAGTGATGACCCTAAAAACATACACCAACCTGTAGTAGATCATCGTGTATCTTGGCAGCCAGCCCAATCAGCATCAACATAACAACGAAGTTCCAAGGAAGAGGTTGAAGAGTAGAAGCAGAGCCCTCGATCCATACTTCCCCGAATATAACAAAGAATACGATGAACTGCAACTAGATGGGGCTAATGAGAATTACTGACAAATTGACTAACAATTCGAACTGCATGAGATATATCTGGGTGAGTCATAGTGAGATAGGTCAAGCTTCCTACAAGACGACAGTACATAGTAGGATTAGGAAGAGAAGGTCCATCATCTTTCCGTCGCTTAGCATTCAATTCCAATGGTGTATCACAGAGTTTTGAATCTGTTAGATGAGCCAATGATAACAAGTCTTCTGCATATTTCTTTTGTCTAACGCTAACACCAGCTTTGGAATGAGAAATTTCCAATCCAAGGAAGTATGTGAGAGGTCCCAAATCCTTCATTTTAAAGGATCGCGTTAAGTAGGTCTTCACAGAAGTAATTCCCGATTCTTCATTTCCTGTAATGATCATATCATCAACATATAACAGTAATCATCTAGAACCTCGAGTTGTGCGCTTAACAATCAAGGAGTTATTAGGACTTTGGTGAAAGCCAACTTGGATGATGGCACTGCGAAATTTTTCAAACCATGCACGAGGAGCTTGCTTAAGACCGTAAACATAAAGGGATTTGTTCAAGTGGCATACATTGTTGGGAGTACAGACATATCCTGGTGGTGGTTTCACAAAAATTGTTTCCTGAAGATTCCCATGCAAAAATGAATTTTTCACATCCATTTGCCAAAGAGGCCATCCTCGAATGGCAGCAACAACTAGTAGAGTTCGAACAGTGGGCATCTTGGCAACTGGAGCAAATATTTCTTCATAATCAATACCACACTCTTGCTTATACCCCTAAGCAACAAGGCGAGGCTTGTATCGTTCCAAACTACCATCAGGTTTCAACTTGAGAGAGTAAATCCATTTACTTCCAATCACTTGAACTCCAGAAGGTCGAGAAACTAAATCCCAAGTGTGATTTGATTCAAGAGCAATTAACTCCTCTGTCATTGCATCTTGCCAACATGGTAGTTCTTTGGCATGCGAATAAGAAAAAGGAACATAAACAAAATCAAGAGTGGGAACGAGAGCAAAAAATTCAGAGCGGTCAAGAGGTTTAGAAGCACGAGAAGAACGACAGGGAGGTGCGGAGAGTTCAGGAGTGATGTTACCTGGAGGTGGGGGTGGCACGGATGAGTGATCGGGATAGGACCAGATGTAGGAGGAGGCCGCAACCTTCGACTATAAACCTGCAATTCCTTAGTAGAATTTAAAGGAGTAGAGCTTGAAAAACTAGGAAGATAAGAAACATTTGATATATGAGACTCCTTTTGAAGAGAATAAAAAGGAATATGCTCAAGGAAGACAATATTGTGGGATATACGTGTTCATCGAGCCTCCGGATCATAGCATAAAAAACCCTTATGGTCATCACTGTAGCCAATGAACACATACTTACCTGCTTGCTGGGACAATTTGTTTCTTTCCAAGGAAGGAAGATGAACAAAACAAAGACATCCAAATGTATGCAAGTGTGTGTATGAAGGAGGCGAATGAAATAAAGATTCATATGGGGAAATATTCTCAAGCACAGGAGTGGGCAGTCTATTAATCAAATACACAGCTGTGTGCACTGCCTCACACCAAAAAAATGGAAGGGACATCTGATTCAAAAAGTAATGCCCTGGTTGTCTCCAAAATATGCCAATGTTTGCGTTCGGCAATCCAATTTTGCTAGAGTGTGTGGACAACTTTTCTGGGGAAGGATCCCTTCATCAGAGAAGAGAGAAGAAACTCTTTTGGAAGGTATTCCCCACCTGAGTCAGACCGGAGGGCCTAGATTTTCTGTTGAATTGAGTCCCCACAAGATTACTAAATGTTTTGAATTTAGACACAACCTCAAATTTATGACGAAGAAAATAAATCCAAGTAAACCGTGAGTGATCATCAATAAATGTGACGTATTATTTATAACCAAGCCTACTGAATTTGGGTGTTATTCCCCAAACATCTTTGTGAATAATATCAAAAAGATTAGTATGTCGGGAGGAATGAACCAGAAATGGTAAAACGTGGTTTTTACTTAAACAACAGGACATACATTTCAAATATAACAAAGCAGTAAATTTCTTGGTATTCAAAGTACAATTCAAATAACCACGCTTAAATAAATAAATAAAAGTTTATTCAAATGACTAAGGCGACGATGCCAAACAGTCCACAAATTATTCTGAAAGCTAACAGAAGATGCAAGCAATGCTCCAAGTCCCACATCCAACAATAATGTTCTCCCACGTCTACTCCCAGTCGCGATCACTTTCCCCGTTTGCTGGTCTTGTATCACACAACCAGAAGATGTAAACTGAACTGTATAACCATTATCAACCAATTGTCCCACAGATAACAAATTAGCAAATAAATTAGGAACAAAGTAAACACTAGATAGGTTAAGAAGTTGGTTTTGGGTAGTAGAGAGGGTGATAGAACCAACACCAGAAATAGGCATATTTGGCCATTTACAATTTGAATATTTTCAGTTCCAGTATAAGGTTTAGATTTATCAAGGCTATGCTCTACAGAAGTCATATGGTTAGACGCCCCCAAGTCAATAACCCAAGAGGAGGAAGAAGTGAATGTAGAAGAGGAGATTAAGTTGTACCGACCATTAATACCCATGGAGGTAAATGCAGATGCAACGGAAGCACTAATCATCTCTCGAATCTGATTTGGTGTGAAAAGAATGGTCTGCGAGGAAGACTCAATAGTAGTGGCAGGATCAACTTGGGTATGGAATGCAGATGGATTTTGATATGGAATGCAGATGGATTTTGATGTTGTGTTGAAGCCTCAGTTTTCCTTGATAGACGTCTTCGACACTCAAGAGATGATATGCCCAGATTTCTTGCAGTAATTGCAGAAGCTCTTCTTTTTGCAATAGCGAGCAATGTGGCCAGATTGCTTACATTGAAAGCATTGTACAAGTCTGCTATTTGTAGAAATAAGAGATGTCTCGCTTAAAGCCGATGCACGAAAGGATTTTGAATCTTCTATGATGACATGCTGCGACTGAAGGCGAAGTTCCTCTCTCAAAACCTCTTGGAAACATGTATCTAAATCTGGAGCAATTTCTCTATTTATCGAAGCAGCCCGAACAGACTCAAATTCTGGGCATAGTGTCATCAAGAACTAATTAACATGGGACTCCTCTTGCAATTTCAGAACTTGTGAATGTGCAGCAGCGTCAACACCTAGGAAGCACGGACACTCCAAAATGGGCGAAGAATCCGTGTCCGACACGTGTCGGACACGCCCCGACACATGTCAGACACGCCAAAAAACGTGTCTGGAATTTTTTATTTTTTTTTAAATTTTCGGACACGGCACGGACACGGCTCAGACACAGCACAAACACTCCGCGGACACGGCATTGACACTCCGCGGATGCGGACACAGACACGAACACAGCATGGACACTTCTGGAATTTTTTTTTTTTTAATGTTGATATGTTCTTTTTTTTTTTTTTGTTTTGTACTACCCTTTTGGTATTGTAAATGGTAAAAGTCCTAGGTCAAATGATGGATGGGAATAGATGATAGTATACTGACTTGTTTTTGTATCTTTTTTGGGGACTAGCCTTTAGGTTTTTGTGAATGTTAAGTGCTAACAGTAAAGTCATGAATGTTAATAGTCCTTTCTGTCTATGCTTTTGTATTTGGAGTAACGTTGCAATGATGATTAAATGATACTAGTTATTATTCTAATTTCTTATTTTTTATTTGGTTTTATAATTCTGCAACATTGTTCTTTTATAGTTTATTAGTTATGATTTGTGTTTTTTTTTTTCATTGTGAGGTTGATGAAAAATAGTAACACTCAGTAATTTTTAAAGTACTTGATCATATATATATATATATATATATATATATATACTATTCGCCGTGTCCGTGTCCTAATTTTTTTGGATTTGCCGTGTCACCGTGTCGATATCGAGTCGTATCCGTGTCCGTGCTTCTTAGGTCAACACCATCCAGGATCATAGAATCCTTCTCATGCCAGAGTGCAAGGAAGCCGTTGTAATATTCTTGTACAGGCTTATCGCCTTGACTGTATTTAGCCAATTCCATGTCAATGTAGTACTTTCTTGATTTGTTAGTCTGGTGATAGACTTTCTTCGGATGTTTCCACACCTCTGAGGCTTTACTAAAGAATTGAAGGGGTAAGGTGACTGAAGGATCAACGGAATTCAAAATCCAAGTAACCACCTTTGAATTGTTTTGGATCCAAGTGACTCTAGGTTTGTCATCAGTGGGTTCAGCCGCTGTTCCATCTAAAAATTCAGCCAATCCTTGTCCTTGGACAAAGTGTTTGAGATGGAAAGACCACCCCACATAGTTGACACCTCTACTAAGGTGAACAGGAATGATGTCACTTTTATCCATAGCAGCAGTTGATCAGAGATGCAAAGAGACACAGGAATTTGAATAGATTTCAACAGAGTTGTTAGTCACAATAAAGTAAGGAGACCAATCAGCAAAGATAGCGGAGCTTATTGAGAGGTTGATGATTATGTCAACCAGATTCAGACACAGAATTGAACAACTAGTGGAACCAGAGTGTAATCAAAGAAAGAAAAGTTGTCAAACAAATCTGGACAGAGATTTGAACAAATATCTAAACCAGAGTGCAGCAAATAATGAAGAGTTGAACCAGATCAAATAGAAAACAGAGCAGATTTCTAAACCAAAGTGTAATCAAAGAATGAAAATACAATTCTTTGACTAACCTTGCTCTGATACCATGTAAAGAAGAGAAAACAAAGCCACAACAGATTTTCGGATGTGGAAGTGATCCGTTCCCTTTGGTTCTCATTACAATTTATAATGCAAGATTTGCCAAAAAAGTGGCTACAATCAAGGAGTAGTAATTACTAATTACAGCAGCTATCTAAAAGGTAAGTCAACTAATCTAGTCCCATAATTACAACAACTACTTTATTTAGGGAAAGTCAGTGCTAGCTAATATAATCCCTAATTGTAAGGCATAATTATTGTCACTATTTACACCTTTCAGGATTGGGAGTTCAACAAATTTAGAGTTAATAACATCAGTATGTGATGAGGAAAGACATTTTGAGACAATTATGCGGGGACAGAAAAGATACGATTGATGCAGCACAGAAACCTAGGTGATTGCAGAAGTATTCTCAACCAAACTAAAGTCAAGCAGAAAAGCAAAGGCATAGACATTTAGCAGCATAGTTGTAGAAATAATCTAGAAAAAACAAAACCAGAAGAAAAGGAGAAAACATGAAAGGGTGAAACACCTAACAGAAGGCCTGCAATTTCAGAATAGGCTTAATAAACTAAATATCCAAATCAGAAAATCCTTTGTCGCAACCTACTACAGGGTAATTTGATAACTTCAAAAATCTTCCAACAATCCCTCTCTGACCTTTATATTCAAATTCCACACTTCCTGATAAACTAAAAATGTGGGGAGATCTCAGATGGACAGTTGCAATCCTTATGTCCAGCAATTATATGCTAAGAAAAACTCCTCACTCTCTGCTTATTTAAAAAACCCATTTAAACTAATAGGAGCAGGATGTTTAATTGAATGTTAGTTGTTGCAAATAACAAAAAGCATGTTAAAACTATTTTGCTTTTCTCTCCTCCAAAATAAAGTTCAGTTGGCACAAAAATACATATATCTACATAGTTTGAGAAGATAAATTCTCTGAAATTTTTAAGAAAGAAGACATACCAGAACGACAGAAGTAGAAGAAATGCTGCAAGGAACAGAATTTTGGGGCAAGCTGCAAAGGAAAATTTAATTAGGCAACTCCTTCCACCAGACTCTTATTATAGACATCTGGTTATTACTTAAATGTAAAGTCATACCCATAATGATAAAGCCACAAGAGCTTGACCAGCATAGCCAACCTTTGCAAGCAGCAACAAGAGTTAACACAAAATAAACAAAGTACCCTGCAAGGACGAAGTTAGATCCAAGGAATCAGTTTAAAGAAAAGAAGAAGAAACCACTGGCCTTTATGGATTATTGTCAAACGATGGCACAAAAATTGTTGGTAAGATGGAAATAACATAAGTGGCAAACGAAAAGATCATGCAAGCAAGTATTGCTCAGCGAAGCAGTGAGATAAAAATATTCTTTTGCTAATTCTCAACAATGACAATGTCGACAAGCATAAAGAGCAAAGGGATAGCATGACATCATTTTAAAATAAAAAAGGATAGCAAGGCATCAGATACCAACATCCCAGCAAAAACTGGTTGATTCTTGTTGCAGTGTTTTCCTTCACTTTCTTTTTCACTTTTTCAGTTTTTAATTCTGCAGACTATTGTTGAGTTTCTAGCATTTCTACGAACCAAAATCATGCCTACCATATGATATGACTAATAAGCAGTATTGAAGGGCTAAGATCAACAAAGGTTGGAAGTAATTAATGTCAAACTCTTTGAGGTTTGTAGCCCTAGTATAAGCCCTTGGCATCAACTCCAGAAATCAGTATATATGTAGTTAATGTTTGGCTCTGTAAGAGTTGAAGAATACCCAAGCAACATTAATTCAGTTTATTCCCTTATGATCTACATATTTAGTTCTCCACTGCTAGTTTTTCTTACTAAATTTAACTCCAGGTGTATTTCCGCACCTAATACAGCAGAAATCCACAGATTTGAAACCTTGGTCATTCTAATTTTAATTCTACACAAATCCTCAGTCCATAACATGATGGATGCCAAACATGCTGCCATAAAAAACCAATAAGAGCCTTGCAAGCAGAAATTGTGCCAATGAGACAAGAGTAGTGCAAGCCAACAATCAATTAAATATGTTAAGCAAGAAGCCAGATGGAAATACTGGAAAGCCCAAATACAGCCCTTTAAACACACCAAAAGGTAAGGTCAGAAAAAAGGTATTCATAATTTCATTGAAGTGGAATCGAAGGAGGGGGTTTAAACAAAAACAAACTTCAAAAAAGTAAGTACACAGACAATTTCATATTATGGTGGGTTAAGAGTGGTTTATCAAAACGGCAGTCGAATAAAGTATTCGGCATAAATTTCTTCGTGGAGATGCAAAAAAAAAATGAACATTTTTGGAATTTTGATAAGGGTCAGGGGATTAGTTTAAAGAATAATTTTCAAGTGAATATCAACAGCTAATAAGAAAACATTGTTTAAAGAGGTTAAGTGGAAGGATACTGCACGTCTAAAGTGTAAAAACTTTTAGAATAGAATGCTCAATAAGCCAAGTCAAAAAACATAACATGCCCAGCAACATGAAGACGGAAATGCAGAAGCAACTAATTATGCCAAAAAAGTGTACAGGAAGTTCCACTAATTAAAGAAGCATGTCTGTGGAACAATAAACCTGTGAATGAGAGAAACAAACATCGACAGGTTGCCTATTTGTGAGCTTGAATTAATTTATTAAGGTAATATTAGGGTGATCTGTATAATTAATCAGGAAGCTGTCAACAATGTGGAAGCAAGGAGAAAAAAGGTAAAGAATTGCTAGTGGGTTAATTTTGTAAAACTAGAAGTAAGGAAATAAAAAATATGTACCAATTAAAGCCTTTTGAATATACATCCAACTGTAAAAGAAGTCTCATCAGAGTAACTTTTTATTTACTTCTTATTTTTATAATTATTTTCCTTGTTTTTCTCTGGTGCAAGTGCTCAATTATTGTAAAAAGTGACTATAAGATGCAAGTTCACAACTCTATAAGTAGATCATTAGCAGCTGTACTCGTGCTACAAAAGACACCAACTTACATAAGAATGAGCTTACACTCTTTATATGGTGTATGTGACCAAGGGCGGACCCTGAAACTTATACTATGTCTAATTTCGGCATCATATATATAAATGGACAAAAAAAGTAAAGTTCAAAAATTGTAAAACAAGGAGATGAAGAAAAATATGATTTATATTCTCTTTTCTTTTCTGTATATAAATGTGGATTTACAAAAACAAACCTTAAAAGATTCCAAATTGAAATTATTTATTAGCTTGTGGGAGGTTACTTGTTAATGTACTACGGAGTATCTTTTTTGGTAAGTAAATATTTTTAATTTCAACTACTCATAGGGCACTATAAAGTAGAGTTTTTCAATTTTTTTTTTTTTTTTTTTTTTGATTAAGAAAAAATTTATAAAAGCGCTCAAAAGGGGAGCGAAGCCCAGAAGATATACACAAGGCCACAAAGGACCTATAAGCCGCCTTCAAAGAGGCCAAAAAATCGACAGTTTCCTCTAAAGATCTATGATCTCTCCCGGAAACCCAACAAAAAAGGGTGGAAATAATAGAGAATTTAAGAGTAGAAATCGACAACTCCTTCCCATCAAAATATCTTCTAATCCTCTCGAGCCAAATACACACCACACACAAAGGGGCACAATATTTTGTGTATTTTAAATTTTAATTAATTTAGGGTCCTAAAAATTAGGGTTTTCAAAAAAATTGGGGGGCCTTGGCTCCACTTAGTCTCCACATAGGTTCACCCCTGGATGTGGGCCTACATATATTTTGCCAACCTACTAATTAAAATTTTTTTTACAAGATAGAGATAAAAAAAATAAATAAATAAAATAAAAAAATAAAAACAATACAAATCACAATAGTGGGCTCTAAAGTTCGGCGAACCTAATGATTATTGTACGAGTCCAACAAGGTCATGCTGATCTGAACCTCTTGCATGTAAGTTGGACCGTAAAGAAGTAGAAAGATTTAATCCAACGCCCAAATCAGGAGTTGGCAACAACTGATGCAAGAAAAGGCGAACCCCTTGTTTAATCACAATGATAGTCCAATATGAAAGGAAAAAGAAAAAGAAAAACACGAACTCCATTCAGGGTAGCCAGACTTTGAAGTGTGAGAACCAAACCAACGAGATGTTTAATAGCTGCCAAAAAAACCCGAATAGGCGTTCAAAGTAGTGGTAAAATATGAGATAGAAAGGAAAGGGTACACACCTTTCAGCTTTATCCACAATGGAGGAAGAATCTGGTTGAAGAAAATAATAGAAGTTAAGGAATTCAACTTATTATAGTTATTATGACAAAGGGAGCTGTCGATGTTCTTCGAAATCGTAAATGAAACCAAGCCTTGGGTAGGACTCAAAATCAAAAGAAGTATAAGTAAATTGACCCTAGTCAATCTGAAAATACTAATAACGACAAAGAAACTCTCCAAAAACTCTTCCTAATTCCAAAAAAAAAAAAAAATGGATACAAAAGGTTATCATTTCCATATTTAGAAGCATGTTCCCACTGTTGTAATTATATGGTGCGTGTTAAATAGCCGATGCTATTTCAATTTATCTTGGTAAATATTATTAGATAATGACTTTTTCTTTCTATCTTTTCGAAAGAGTATAATAGAAACCAGTAATTATAAAAAAAAGAATACTTCACATATTTCTAACAAGTGGGACTTGAAACCTGACCTCCCCTTTTGGCAGTGAAAGACATAGATTATGGAGGAAGGTAGTTTCATGTCGGTTTGGGGAGGAGAGAGGGGGATGGTCTGCTAGGCCGGTCAGATCTGCGGACGGCGTGGGGGTGTGGCATTCCATTGGGAAGGGATGGGATGAGTTCTTTAAGCATATTAGATTCAGAGTTCGAGAAGGTAGGAATGTCCGGTTTTGGGAGGATCCTTGGTGCGAGGACCGTCCTTTGTCTTGCCGGTTCCCAAGGTTGTTCAGGATTGCTGTGAATAGTCATGCTTTGGTTGTTGACTGCTATCGCCTTGATAGCGGTAGGTTATCTTGGGATGTTCAGTTCCGGCAAGCCTTTTAGGATTGGGAGTTGGATGACGTCACTGGCTTGCTGGATCTTTTGTATCAATAGGAGGTGGATGGAACTAGCTCGGATTTCTTGACTTGGGTGCCTTCTTCGCAAGAGCTTTTTCAGGTTCGGTCCTTCTTTTCTGTCTTTCCGGTTTTCAGGGTACCACCTTCTCGTGGAAAATGGTTTGGCATTCGAAGGCTCCTCTTAGGGTGGTCTTCTTCACTTGGACTGCTACTTGGGGTAAGATACTCCGGACAATTTGAGAAAAAGAAGACATGTCATTGTTAATCAGTGCTTATGACCGATGGAGAGTCTATGGATCACCTTCTTTTGCATTGCCCAGTGGCTCATGACTGTTGGAGTCTTATTTTGGGTCTTTTTGGCGTCCATTGGGTTATGCCCCGGACCTCACGACGCTTGATTGATATTTGAAGGGGCCAAAGGGTGGGAACTCGTGTTCGCAATTTTTGGAGGACGACCCCTCTTTGTATTTGGTGGTGCCTCTGGAAAGAGCGGAATAGAAGATCCTTTGTTGGGGAGGAGATCCCTATTGGGGCGTTAAAGTTTTCTATTATTTGTTCTCTTTTTAGTTGGGGTATGGGGAGAGATTGTTTATCTGTTGATGAGATCGTGGACTTTTTGGGGTCTTTGGGTCCATAGGTCCTCCCCTTCCCCTTTTTCTTTTTTTTTCTGCCTTTTCGGTTCTTGTACAACTCTTGGGATTTGTTCCCCTTTTGAACGCTTTCTAATACATCTTTACTTATCAAAAAAAAGAAGAAGATATCAACGGCAATGAATCTTTTTTAATAGACCTGTCTCAACACTACATTACTTTGGGAATGCTGTTGAGTTAATTACCAAGTCTTAAGAAAGGGTTCCCCAATTTTACAAACAACCACTTAATTAGATACAAAAGTGTGGAAAAATCTAGGCTGAATTGTTAGGAAATTAGTTAGGGAGGATTTTTAGGAATTATTAATAGTTAGATAGTTGACTTTTTTAAAATTATGATCTGTATATATCTTTTCCTTAGATAGGATTTGTAATGCACTTCTATATATATAGGCCTGTAAACTAGCATATGATATATGAGAAGAGAATATCAGAATTTATTCATTTTCACCTTTGTGTTCAAAAAGATTACTTAATATCCAAAATCATAACTGCCATTCTAACAATGGAGAACAACAAGAAGACTAGTTGGAGTAGGAAGACCCAGAGTCGCCAAACAAAGCTTACAAGAAAGAAAGAAAGAAATAAATAAATAAATAAAAGGTGACAGATCTCCAAATCCAAGACCAAACATTTTATAAACGGTGTGGTTTTGATATGATGAATAGGTTGAAGAGATAAAACACACAATACAATGGGATCCCAAATGGCACTTGATAGGTGGAGGAACAGGTAAATTCAAGGAAAAGGGAGGTTTTGCAGCAAAATCACAATTTTCTCTGGCAAGATCCTGGTGGAAAATGGAGTTTTGATGAGCATTGTTCTTGTCTGACATTATATATTCTTCTGCCTTAGATATTTAGATGTTATTAGGAGTCACCCCACTAACAAAATTATGATCGGATATTCCCTTAATAGTTTACGGGAGATTTTCCCACCGCTGGAGAGGTTAGCTCTTTAGACATCCATACTTTGCATTCCTCAGAATAAACTCGTAATTGCATTAGCTAAGCCATTAAATGTGGTCAAAGGGCTCATAAATGTGGTCCTTAAATACGATGGGAAAAGTCATGATAGTGAACTAAGTAAATGTTCTCCAGAAGATACTTGTGATTGAAGTTTATCAAATTCAGTCAAGACAAGAATATGAAGAAAGCTGTTCCCTACTCCCAACCGAATAACATTTCTGCCTTCTCACGGTGAGCATGCAAGAACTCTCCAGATCTTCCATGGTTTACCTATGCGAAGAACCTCTCATCCATTCTTGTGCTTGAGGTTTATTTAGAGAAAGAAATCAATGGCTTGATTTTCTTCCTTTCGAGGCTTGTCTTGGTAAATAAAAATTTATCAACCATCTTTATACCTTGAGATTTATCTATGACAAAGAACCCCTTGGCCATCTTTGAGCTTCAAGGTTCATCTATTTGGAAAACTCCTTAAAATCTTATTTTCGAGGTTAATCTGCAGAGAAAGAACTCAAAAATGACAAAAGTGGCAGACTGGGATCTTCTTTATCACGTCTCGATTTGCCAGCTAGATGAGAACTGTAGGGAAATTTTGGTCAGCACGTGTGTACACGTATATACACCACGTCAAGCCTTTGTGGCTGTTGACCCTTCTTTTCTTATGCCACATGGCTACTGCGCCTTGAATGGACTGAAGTTTTTCCTTTTTCTCAAAAGCAGCACCTATCTAATGAATAATTCGCTTATACCACAAGTGAATTTCTCTTTCCTTTTTCTCTTTTCTGAAACACAATAGACTGAAGTTCGCCTCAAATGGAAAGATAAAAATAGTACCAATCTACGAACAGTTACAAAAAAGTTATCGCATTAAGCAGCCCACTTTAAAAGAGTTCATCATTGGCACACTTAATTCAGTTATTAAATCAAAATAAAGAAAAAAATCCAACTTTGAAAATATAATCCTGATAAAGTAGTAACAGGGTATCAATATGGTCCAAGATTTGTTGACAGTAATGCTAATATTTACATGAAATGTAAATTTTACATAAAAAGTATTTAAGTAGTATATAAATCCAACTATAACAATACATCTCTTCCTCCTGTATAAATCTTTTTAGTGGGGTATCTACTTTCTTAACTTAATCAATGTGTTTAATATAATTTAAGGCTATTCTTACCGAATTTCATGTTTTAACCCTAAGAGATTATGCACCTCAAAAAGTCATTTAATTAACTAACGAGATGCAATCTTTAGCAAAATAGATAAACAAAAGAGGACAACTATTAAAAGGCGAAGAGATTATCATACATTAAACTGACTAGAAATATAAACTAGCAGTAAGTATAAAAAGGAAATGCAGCAATACACATCAGTGCATCAGAAAGGCTGTCTAGAAGAAAGATTTAACAGCAATAAATGTAGGACAAAAAGAATAATTTCTTGATCATTAATCAGAATGCAATTTCTTACCCAAATTAGAAGAGCCAATCATGAGATGGAACACCTGCAATTGGAAGTTTAATTTTATCAAGTACGACAAAAAAAAATATCACGTTGAAATAGGAAAATTATAACAGTATATATATAATCAACACATTAATTGCAAAACAACAAAATGATTGAATTCACTTAAGTGCTACTGGATACACATCAAAATTCTAAGGAAATAGCACTACAACAAAGAATATAACCATCTGATATTTCAAATTATTGTTCTAAAATTAAGGAATTAAATATTATCGCGCTTATATGTTTTCAACTTTTCATACAAACTATAATATATAAAATAAAATAAAATAAAAAATGCAATATCAATGGTGAACTTCCTTCATAAGTTTTAATCAAAGGGGAAAAAATATGTTTTTGCAGAGAGTTCCACAATGTACGTTAGCCTATGTTTAGAAGGAGGAAGGGAATAAGCTTTTCGTTATTTGTTGGGTAAATTTGTTTGCTTCCATCCATTTTTTCACCCTTCCAACCAAGCAGAGAATTATTGTATAATCATAGAATACAAAGGTGTGAAGACTCAATATCTAAGGTGCAAAAACTAGAACTCCAAATTTGTAAAGTTTTAACTTCATGGAAAATTTTGATTCACTTCTATATTTCTAAACATATAAAAAATGAAGCAACTTTTAATGATACCTACAGATAGGGAGAGAAAGGAGGGTGGGGGGGTGTAGACCATTGATTTTCCTTTAAATTGTCAACTTGTGCCGTGCGTCAGATGTCTTATGTGTACTACATGAGTGTGACGACATGAATGACTCCTTTAAGATCTCTCTCTCTCTCTCTCTCTCTCTCCAAGAATTCATTTTTGAACAAAGTGACACATTTTCATTATATTCCCTATTTCAATTGCATTCATTCCTCAATGATGAAAGTATATTAGGCAAATTTCATTCAAACCACTAACAGTATAATAGATAACCAAAGCTGAAAGTACAATGGTATCATTCAATCCAGCGTGCATATCATTTAGAGAAAAAAAGATCATCAATAGTTTGATGACGAGTAAATGATAATAACACATCACTTACTTTCTGACGAGTCCAACCAACGCGTGAATTCCTTGAATGGACCCTTATCAACTGGCACATGAAAATTCAACAAATCAAATGATACGACAAAGAAGTGGTAGGATCTACTTGTTAAAAACAAAACAAAATAAAACAAATCAAAAACAAAAAAACTAGAAAAATATAAAAAATAAAACAGGAATGGCACGTAAAGAAGCAACAAAAACAACTTTTGGCTGCATTGATAGGCTTTAGCACCAAACCATGCACTGCATGAAGCCATATTTTATGTGATATCTTACCCCTACAGTGCAACTAAAATCACTGCTAGATGAGAACCTAGGTGCCTTTAGCTACTATTCCAGACTGAGCAACCAGCCCTTTGGGCAGTATTAGGCTAATATATCTCTCTTGAATATTCAGGTACACACCAGAGCTTGTTTTCGTATCAAGTAATCGCTAAGTACGTGAGGTAATTAGTTAAAGCTTTAAGGATTCTACACATAATCACTGAGTTTATTAGGTAATTAGGTTAAGGATTTTACACATAAACAAAACTATATAAATCAATTCTATAATCTGTTTTATGACCACCTCAAACTTACTATATGAAATTTTTTTTTTTTATAAGTAACTTACTATATGAAATGAACAGAAAAATAAGAGGAAAAAAATCCACTAAACAAAGCCCTAACTATGAGATGGCATTATATTCTCCCTATCTAAGCCCAAACTATGAGATAGTATTATCTTCTCCCTCTCCTACCTTCTCTCTCCCTCAAATCCATACAAGAGATCAAGGAGGAGAAAATAAAGGGAAATCTAAAAAGAATGTGGACTGAGGTAATAAAATAGCATGGTCCCTTTTCACAATATTGTTCAGTTGGGTATCACCCTTAATTAAAAGAGAAACGAAAAAAATTAAAAATAAAAGAAAGAAAGAAGCTTGCCCAACCTACTCCTACAGTTTGGGATTCAACAGCCCATTGAGATGCGTCAAGTTGTGACTGATGTTAGCATACATAAGATGCAACAAATAATAATCTTGGATTGGTTTCCGGTTATATATAGAAAATGTTGAAATGCATTGCAGGCTTGACTAAAATGTCTCCAAGGTTGCATAATGGATTCTAAAATCCACTACCAAAACATGACAAAATCATCAGTGCATATAGATTATTAATAAATTATTTTCTCAGATTTTCAACTTCTTGTTAATCCACTTGTAAAGTAGGATTATTCTCGTTATAATTATTCCGTTACCATAAGGTTCTCCATAACATTTTCAGTATAAATCATGAATTGCACCCAAAAGTTAAACAGAAACTAGCTTTACGGAACTGAGGGAAACCAAAAGTAATACAGAACAGATTTTCCGGCAACCATCTAGGCTCCTAAATTAGCAATTACGAAAACAGATTTTCCGGCAACCATCTAGGCTCATAACTTACGAAAACAGCAGACATGTCCGTTGCCTATGCTCCCCGAGGCATTTTGACAATTACAGCACTTGCTGGTCCAGAGAGTGCAGACACTCAAAGGAACTAATATAATTCAAAAGAAATTCAAATTTGCAGCACAGTAATAGTTTCTACACAAATTGCTAAATACAAAAGAACATTATCAGTAAATTGGTTTATAGTTGCCTCAATTCCCTTTGCTTAGATATCAGGTTCAAATAGAAGTAAAAAAAAAAAAAAAAAAACAAACAAACAAACACCCTTTCCCTAGATAAATCACTTCCAAACAAAACCAAGCCCAAGCTAGCTATCAATCCATCAAAATCTGATCAGAAAAATCATCAGTCTATCAAGAAAACATCTCAGACTTACCTAGAATCATCATCAGGAGATGAACAAAGCCAAGCAAAAACTACAAACCACAATCAATTTTCCCCATTTTCCCGATTCTTAATGCAGACATATACATAAACGCATTATCCTCAATGTGGCACGCATATACATGTATCGACAGATGTGTTGGTGTATATATGTGTGGCTGTGTGTATATATTAACGACAACGAATTGATAGCAGAAATATAAAAGACCTGATAGAATGCAAGAACGCCAATTACGCCATCGATGATAGCAAGAGCGACATTCACAGCCACTAAGGCCTTAGGATAACAACTTTCGTCTCCAAATTCGAAAATCATCTCCTCTCCAAAAGCATGCGCCCTTGGAATCACAGGAAACAATAATCTCTCTCTCTAGACTCTCTCTCTCTCTCTCTCTCTATATATATATAGCCTCTCTCTCTCACTCTAGAAAAGGAGGTGTGTTGTATTAACAAGGACTTTCGTCCTCTGCTCTGATGGGTACGGTTCGAATACGTATTTTTTGAAGGTATCTTTCATGGTAGATCTGTTGGCGGATTCAATTTTCTTTTTCTCTTTTTCTTTTCTTTTCTTGTGGTAAAGGAAATTGATTATGAGGAAAAAATAGAAAAATGGAAAGGAAATTATACTCTGTTTTTTTTCTTATTGTTCCTTTTTTTCTCTTTGCCACATTGACTTTGCTAATTTTTTTTATTCTGTTTCAACCAGAGTCTTCCAGAACGAGATTTGAAAAAGAGAGAGGAAATGAAAATATTGTAAATTAAAGTCACATTTTTGCATTTTAAATAAATTGTATTGAAAGAAACAATAAATTGTAAAATTCTCTCACTGTGTAATTTTAAGATCGTATATTTCATTTCAAATTCAATTTTAGCAATTTCAAACAACAAAAGTATTATTCAAATATCGTATTCGAGAAACATTATAAGAAAATATATTAGTAGTATTTTTAGAGAATATAAATATATTTTAGAGTGAACTATTATTCTTTTTGTTTTTAGTAGTGACAATGAAATGAATAAAAAGATGAACAAATATGTATTTATAGATAAGAGAATATAGATCAGAGTATACGGTTTTTTTTTTTTTTTTTTTTTTTTTTTTTTTTTTTGTTTGAGAACAAGCTCTATTGTTCTTTTCTTTTTCTTTTTTCTTTTTTAGACTCTATTAATCAAATCCAAATTTTATAAAAGAAAATATAATACTGTAATAATAATCTAGTTGGCAACCTTGGCACACTATGGTTACAAAACTTACATTTTATACTTAAAATGTACGTAGTAATATTTTATACTTAAATGGAGAAGAAAAATACATTTTGACACAAAGATTATGAGAGTTGACTTTATACCTACTTATGTTTGTTTCTTAATTAAAGTGTGTTTGAAATATTTTGATGTAATTATTATTTATTTTGTCAGTTTTAGTGTCTTTGAAAAGCTCTAAATATTGAATAATGATGCACTTGTCAAATTTCTGTCCAAACCATTATCTTTTTACATGTGGCTTATTCATTCAAAAAGAAATCTCTATTTTCTCTACCATAAATATGGCTTTAAATGTTGAGTAATGATATTATTGCCAAGACGTAATCGAACCACCTATTTTTTTTACACGTGGCTTATTTAGTCAAAAAAATATATATATTTTTTTATCTGCTAAAAAAAACCTTTGACCTTTTTCTGAACAATTGATTTTTTTTTTTTAATCTAAGTTTGCACGTGAACTTTGTTAATTACATTTAATTACTCTCAAAATTAATAAAATATAATGATAACTCTTAATATATATATATAATTTTAAGAGAAAATGATACTTAAATAATAAACTAAAAGAGGAACAGAATTAAACGATTAACTAATGAGATCTACTAATATCTTTAATTATTATTATTATTATTTTATCAATATCAACTCAAATGGCTTGATATGAGACATTTATAATAAAAAATGAAAAATAAAAAATTTAAATAGGGTAGATGATACAATTATCTCTCATAATAGTTTTCAAACTCTACATCTTTGACCTATTAATTTTTGTTTTTTTTCAAAAATCTAAATAATTTAAAATTATTATGAAAAATTGAAAAATAATCATTAAATAATAAATTAAAAATGAAGAATAGGAAATATTAAAGAATTAGCTAATGAGATTTATCGATACCAAATGATATGGTTTGATACAAGTTATAATTTAAGTGAAAGCTTATTCCATGAGACATTTATAATCAAAAGAAATGAAATATATATATATATTATATACCAAAGGTGTGGAATTTAGAAGCTTGTATAAGAGATAAAAGTTTCATTTTATAAATTTTTAAGCTTTATAATTTTTTAAACAATTATCATTGTAGTTTGAAAGTAATTAAATCCAATTAGCGAAATTCATGTGCAAACCTCAGAAAGCATGAATTTTTCCAGCATTCCTTTGTAAGGTTGATAGCATCAATGATAAATTTATTTTAATAAATAAGCCACGTTTAATTTAGTATATGAAAATAAAAATCAAAGGCTTTTTCTTCTCAGCAAAAGTTGAAAGTTTATTTCAGTGAGAAAAAGATTTGTTTTTTTCTTTTTATATAAATATGCCACGTTTTAGAATGATATATAGTGGGAGATTGTGAAGGAAAATATATAAATTTAAGGCTAGTACTCGTATATGAATTGTCAAAATTTATAGCTTTAAGGCTAGGATAAGAAGAATGATGGGAATATCAATAAAAATGAATTATCTTTGTAATAATGGTGTGGATTTAAGATTTTTATTTTATTTTATTTTATTTATTGCTTATAAAGTTATAAATACATAGTTTAAATACCAAAATAGTCATACTTTCTATAGTTTTAATAGTTGTATCAATTAGACACACACTCTCTTTTGTATCCATATGTATTTTGTATCCATGTGTATATTTGTATCAATTAGACTCTCTCTCTACCCGTCTCTCTCTCTATGGTATGTTGATGTTATATTGAGCAGCCGCCCTACTTTTAAACAATAAACTAAGAAAGCAACACTTGAAGACAGGTACTAAACCAGCATAATACTACAAGATTTGTATTATAGATGGATAGGGGTCAAATTGGGGCAGGTCATGTTTGGGAACATACATGAGCCCGTGGACTACAATTTGACTAATACCAGCTCTGACCCAATTAAAAATTAATATTACACATTGTTTGGTTGCTTCCATAACTCCAAGCAACTCGTTCAACTATTTGTATGTGGAAAAGTCGTATGAAAGGGAAACGAACAAATTTATAAACTTGCCGACACTTGGTAGTCGGATGTCTCACATCAACACCTCTCTTGTAAAACACCTTTATCCCAAACTATGGAAAAATAAATAAATAATGGGTACAAATGTAAAAATAAAAAATACAAATTAGGTAGATTGCATTGACACCTTCAGAGGTTCCGGTCAATGTCACTCATATACCGGTCAACGATTTTTTTAATAGTGACACTTCCTATGATTTCAAATGTCATATTTTGTCCCTAATTATTTTATTTAATTAATTTATAAAATATCAGTCCTTTTAATTAATAAAACTATCCTCATCATAAAGCATCTTTCTCTACCCTAATCTTTAACTCTCTCTTTCTTTTTCGGACATGGTTGTTTTTTTTTTGGTGGGCCTGGGCTGGCCATGGTTGTTTTTAATTTTTTTTTTCAACTCTGGTGGTGTTGTTGTGGTATGGTTTGGGTGTGATTGTGGTGGTTATAGTAGTGTTTAGATTATCAGGGTGTTTTAAAAAATTTATTTTTATTTTTTCTATTGTGGTGGTGGTTCTTATAGCGTCTAGGAGTGCTGGTAGTGTTGTCTTGTTATGGTGGTGGTGGTGGTCTTGTCTTGTCTTGGTGTGGTGGTGGTTCTAGTAATATTTGAGACGTATAAGTGTGGATTGTCTAATTTTTTTTTTTTTTTTTTTTTTTTTTCTACTGTGGTGTTTAGGTGTGGTGGCGATGGTTATGGGGGTATATAGTTATCTGGCTATTTCAAAAAAAAAAATTAATTTTCTTTTTCTTTTTATTTATTTATTTTTATGTTGTGATGATGGTTATGGTGGTATAAATATTATTATACATGAACTATATCTATACATAAAGATGAATAGGCTAGTTTGGTCAATTAAATTTAGTTAGGATGTTAAATTTGTAATTTCAGGACTTAAATGGAATGTTGACAAGTCAAATGGTATAAAAGTAATTTCATATGATTTCAGAGGTCTGGAGGTGTCAATGTACATTTTTTAAACCTCAGGCAATGTCAATAAATTTCAGAAAATATTAGTGCAATTCACCTAAAAAAAAAAAAAAAAAAAACTAATCCATTCTCCTTTTTATTTAATTTTTGGGAGGAAGGAATATGGTGGACTAGGAAAAAATATTGGGCTTTACTTATTTATTTCTCTTCCTTCTCCTCCCGACCAAATTTCTTTCCTTTATTTCTATTTACTTTCTTTGATTTTCCCTTCTTACTAAAAAGGTTGTAGTACATGCCAAGGTAACTAAGGGTTTATTTGGTTAGCAAGAAATCGATGATGGAAAGTAAAAGGAAAAGAGAGTGAAGTGAAGGAAAAAAAAAATTAACTTTCTATTATGCATTTGATTAGCATGATTATAAGAAATTTGTGAAAAAATATTGTTTCATTGGTTTGGATAACATGAAAGGGAAAAGAAAATGATTTGACATCCCAAAACTATCATTATGAATTTTATACTAAGAACATACGTGTATATATAGTTAGGTTTATATACCTAGATATGATCAAGTACACATTTAGTAATTGTTTTTTTATATTTTATTTTAAGTTTGTATTATTTATTAGAACTCTATTATTATTTTTTTTATTAGGATTTTTTTTTTTTTTAGGACTCTGTTATTAAATTAACTTGTGTCTTTGTGAGTATGAAAAAGAGTCCTAATTTAAGAGTAAGGAAATTGTAACCTACTAGGAGTCATAATTTATTAATGAAGAAAACTCACTTCTTTTGTGAGATTGGATAAAAAAGAAGAGTAATAACTGATGAGGGCATAATAGGAAATTATAATATAATGATACAACTTTCACAGGAAAATAAAATTTTAGCGTGTTTTATGGATGAAACATTTGGAGGAAAATCAACTGGTTGCGGGAATCTTACTTTCTTGAAAATTTTCATTTTCACGCTAACCAAACTTCTAATTTTTTAAAAAAATTTATATTTCTTTTCTTTTCTAGTTACTTCACGCTAACCATACGAAGCCCTGGAATTTAACTTTAAATCATTTTTTTTTTTTTTTTGGCACACTTTTAATGATAAATTTTGTGAAAAACTGTGTTCTGTAATTACTTTTTAAGAGGTCTCAAGTTCAAAAACCATGCTGCAGCACATTATTATTATATTTTTACTTATCAAAAAAAAAACAAAAGAGAGTCAAGTTCAAACATTATATTTTATTGAAAAACTATGGATTGAATCAAATGGAAAACATAAATTGTCATATTTTGTCTAAACAATTATATTGATTATTCTACATTCATTTTCATTTAGCCTCCATTTTTTTCACCGTAAAAATAATTTTTCTCATCTTTCGATGTTTAGGAGACTTCAAGG